ATGTACCAGGGAGCATTGCAAATTTGCCGGAGGATTTTCGCTTGCACAACTCTTAAAAACCAACTTCGGCTGAAGTATTTCAGTATTGCTTAAAAGTGTAGCATACTTTGCGGCATGCACTTAAAACGCCATGCGCTAAAATATTTATGTGATAAAAAGCATTGCATACTTTGCGGCGCGAGCAAAATTTTATTTGTATAAAAACATTTAAACAATAAATTTCAATATGGTTGAGTAGCATATATTCGTCATTTATTATTCAAATAAAAACAAATTACAATATAACAATTGGAATACTAGTTCTATTACTAACACGCTGTCATCCTTCGCCATACAAATTATGCGCCTGCCTTGAGTAATATATATATATACGCTGTTTATTCGCAAATGCACTCGCTACGAGTGCACAAAGAGTTCTAAAAATAGTCAATGGGCCAACATGAACAACATCCCATTGCTGGCTGGCATCACATAACAAAGAAGAAATTCTAAGGCATACAATATGGTACTGTGAATGAATACGAGTATAAACTAAGCTAAAATGTGTCTTTGCTATTGGCTGCAGCTGCGCTACGAGTTGAACACATCGATTGTGCTGGTTGGGCTGGGCTGGGCTGAGCTCGGGTAGGAGGGGGGTGTGCACTACTCCTTTAGGTCGGCCGCCGTGTTAATGAAACCAGTTGTTTGTGTCAGCTGCAGTTGCTTCTCTTCGGCCTCGGCAGCCTTCTGCTCCGGTGACTTGGCCCACTCCTGCAGCTCGCCGGACGCGTAGAACCAGTAGATGACGCAGCCAACAAGATAAATGCCAGCCGAGATAAAGAACACCAGGCGCCATTCATAACGGTCTCCGCTATCGCCCACAATGTACCCGGTCAGCAGCGGACTGACGATGCCGGGAATCGTGGCGAATGTGTTGCCGATGCCCATCAGCACACTGGCGTGCTGCGGCGCGATATCCAAGTGATTGACACTGCAAGTGTTGCGAGAGTTAAGTCGACGCATAGCTGAGGGCTACACTGACGTTGCAACTTACGCGAATCCAGACCAGGCAAAGGCGCCCAGGCCGACAGCAATTGTAATGAATATCACCGACCAAGTGGGATCCATAATGTAAGCCGTGAGCATCATGAAGACCGTCTGAGCCAGGAAAGCGCCGCAGTTGAAGTTACGGCGCACTTGTGTTGTTGTCCAGATGCCCTTCACCTGCATCCAATCGGCCAGATAGCCAGAGACGGCCAGCAGTATGCCCATAGCCAGGTAGGGTACAGCCGAAAGGAAGCCCGTTTTGCCCAGATCAAAGTTAAGCGTATCTGCGGAGAAGATCTCGTTAAATACCATGTTTAGGCCAAGTCATATCAAGCACGTTACCCTTAAGGAAGCTGGGCAGCTGAGTGAGCAAGGTGTAGAAGCCCCAGTTCTCGGAGAAGTGCGAGGCAATGATTGCATAGAAAGCCATGGATGTGAAGATTGCTTTCCATGGGTGCTTGATCGTCTGGGGGCCCGTATAGCCAATCGATTTCTGTATGTACTCGCACTCTTCCTTCGAGCAGAAGCGATCCTTCTCGGGTCCCGCGCGCACAATCAGGAGCCACAGAATCAACCAGATGACACCAATAGTTCCGAACACATAGAAAACACTAGGCCAGCCGTAACGGGAGGCCAACATACCAGACGATGGCATCGCAATTACCGTTCCGGCGTAATTGCCCGCAAATGCAATTGACGCCATGCGAGAGCGCTCCAACGGTGGCGACCACCTGGCCCATACGGCGTGTATGCCCGGAAATGTGACGCCCTCGAACACGCCCTCGATAATGCGCACGGCCAAAAACATTTCGAGACTGTGCCGTGCCGCTAGCGGGGTGAGCAGAGTGAGGATGGCCGTTGTGCCAATGCCCAAGCCGAAGACCTTTCAAATGAAATGTTACAAAAAGCGAGTAGTTAGTCTAGGATTTCCAATTCATTTAAACAATTCTTTAACATGTTCAGCATGTTAACTCACGAGATTGCCGCCAACTTTGGTGCCTATGTAGCCGCCCAGGAACTGTGTGAAGATGTAGCCATAGAAGAAGGAGCTCAATATCAGGCCCCTCTGCTTGGAGTCCCAGGGAAAGTCCTGCTCGTACGATATATTGCCATCGGCATCGTGGACAGTGCGATTCTCCGTCATGGCCACAATGGCCACGGACAGATTCACGCGCAGCGAGTAGACATTGAAGAAGCCAAAGAAGGCCATCAGCACCACAATGTAGCGCTGCTTGCGCCAGAATCTCCAGGTGAGTGGCTCGCTCTCCACCAGGTCATGGCTGCGGGCATGGATAGAACAGAGGAGTTGCTTAGTTCGATCGAAATGCAAATTGTTGTATCTGCTGTCAGCCCAACCAAGCCACAGTCACTTTCGCTGGTCATCGACAAACTGCTGTTGGTTTTTGCAGTCTTTTATCTTTTCCTTCTTCTCTTTTTCGTATACAACATTTCTCAACGTCTGCAGTTGCCAATGGGCTGGAACCAGTTTCTTAGCTATGCGCGACATTAGCAACTGGTTTGGCTTGGGTCATTTGACAGTATTTCAGCAATTCGCGCACATGGGCGTGGGTACACACGTTATTTGCATATCCTACTTGGTCGTACTTTGTTTTGCTTTTGGGCAGCAAGAACAGTTGCTCGAGCTGAGCTTTGCCATAATGCGGAAGCAATTTGCGTATGAGTGTTTCTTATTACATCTAGTTGGGCCAGGCGTTGCCCAAAGTTGAGGTAGTATTAGGTAGATACTCACTTGTTGTGATACGAATGATGGCCATTGTGCTTGTCGGCTTTCATTGACTCCAGGTCGGTCATTTTGCGTGATTGTGTGCGTGTGTCTGTGTGTACGGGGCGTATGATCAATCTACTCGGGCATTAAGGGCCTGCAAATAAATTGGATAAACACAAAAAAGCAATTCAAATACAAATACCAAAAAAAAGAAAAGAAAAAACAAAAATAAAAGCGCCAGCCGCTGTAGGTTGTGCGTGCTGCCGTTTCATTAAAATTAAATTAAATTTCAAGACCTCCCCTCGGTGCAGCTCTCGAGCAAGTTCAATAGAAAAATTGCACACAATGCGAAGCGTGTCATAATTTTTTGCAATTTGTTTCATTCCATTTTGTGTGTTTCTTTGTTCGCGCCCTGCCATTATTAAACAAATCTACAGCAATTTATTGTCTCCGGGCAGCGTTGCGTGCCGGCCGCAATTGGCTTTGACATAGAACTCTAGTCGAGCCACAGGGCAGCGCATTGATTCGGCAAGCATCTTAATCCGGATATACAATATGCATAGAATTCACGAAAAACACACACTCACATAGAAATTGTTAGGCTCTTTAAGCAATTGTCTCGCCTTATCGAAAATACCTCTTGGCAGTTTAGATGACGACGCCTCTTAACTCAATTATCCATTTAACTTATTAAGCAAATAGTTTTGCAAATTGTGGCATTTGTAGCACGCGAAATAGAACACTCACTCACTCACACACACAGTTATAAAACAAAAGTAATCACAGCAAATACGTAATTGTGGCATAAGTGAGCCAAGTGCTTGGGCTACGCTACGCAACCGGTTTTTCGGGGGGACTTTCACTTGATTCGCTTATTGCTCAACTGCTCAGCTGCTCGCCATAAATATTCTGCAGATGCGTGCTCTCTGCTGTTGTCTACTGATTTGCACGTGTGCACAATGGAACACAAGTATCTATTTTTAGATAATAGATAATAATGATATGATAAGGTATGATGCTGTCAGCCGCTTTCAGTCGCTAAATTAACATTCAACCAATAAAGAATACACGCACACGCACACACACACACGCACTTAGAGGCGTGTTTTGAGCGTCGTTTAATAAATATGATTTATAGACAATTTTCCTTGTTTTTCCGTAGCTGAGTTAAACTAGTTTAACGCAACGCCTATCTCCAAAATCCTGTTGAGTCTACATATGGAATTTCAAGTCGACTTGCAACGACCATGTATATATATATATTATAATATATGTATATGAAATTCCTGTTTGCTATAAATAAATTCACTTTCTATCAGGGTCGCAAGCTCAAATTTTTTTATTTACCGCACATATTTGAAATAAATTTGATGTACAGCTAAATAAAATTTGGAATTTATATATGAGCTTTTGATAAAGACAAAGGTAATGCTAATAGGTTACCCTTCTTTAGTTTTTCTTCTTTCTTCTTTGACTGGCAAATAATTAAGTTTAAAAATTAATTTCCGGGTTCGAACCGGTTGTATTTGTGCCCAGCATGCAGCCTTGGCTTTCTATTAGCCCATTCAATATGCACTTTATCAAATTTCTCTATCAATTTTTCAAAAATTAATTTATACATAAATTACATACACACACACACACACACTTTCACGTGCTCATAAATTTATCAAATTTCGTTGTTTTGCAAAACATGCAATGTAATTGAAAGCATTTGCCATTCACCTCGCTGCTTATCTATACAGCATTAATTATTGCACTGGACTTGGAGAGCAATATAAGATTTATAAGACTAAGATTCAATTGAAGAATTGCTGTTTATGAAGTTATCAGCAAATATTGATAATAGAGCAAATGAATTATCAACTGTTGCGCTTAAGCAGCTATTAGTGCGTGCTAATCATAATCTGTGATTAACTCAATTTAGCTATAGCTATAGAGTCAGTTAATATTTACATATCAGTAGCACAAATAGTGAGCTAATCGGAGATAGAGTATTTACTTCAACTTACGTTTTATCTAACCGCGAGATAAACTGATTATTTGAGCTACAGATAATAATAATGATGCTAATATTTACTGCCTATATGATTATATAGTTTTCTTTCTCTTTTCTAATGAATGACTAGCTATCTAAAATTCTGAAAAATGCTGTTATAAATCAAGTCTAACTGTTATATATAAGTCTGTTTCAGATGAAACTTAATTACTTTGAGTTAGTCAGAAATGCTTGGAGCTGACTTTAGTGCATTCTGCAATGCTAATGAAATATATAGAGTTATATATATATACATTTCGAAACAGCTGCCGGCATACACACTTAATTTAAATGCATTCATTTGAACGAAATTCTTTAATCAAGTACAAGAAAGTGACAGTTGTGCAAACAGCAAAGCCGCAGCAACTGCAACTGCAACAGCTTAACAAAGTCGCACAACTTTGAGATTGCAAATAGTTAAATTAAATACACTCCAATAGACACACTCGCACACTCTTGCACACTCTTGCACACTCATGCACATGCACTTTTGAAGTAGCCGTTATATAGAAAAAGCCACAAAACTTGAACGCACCAAGAAACTTCGTCAAGGGTCTTCAAACTCCTCAAGCTCTGCTCAGCTGGTCCGCCGGTGGTGGGTATGCTGATTGTGTGGGCTGGTTGGTTGGTTGGTTGCGTGGCCAGGTGTGTAGCCGCCGGTTGCTCGCAGCGCACTAATACTGCAGCCAGTTGCCGGCATCCAGCTGAACACGACCGCAGACCGCTCGGCTGGCTGAGCGGCGCTCTGCCCCAGCTGATCGTGCGTTGCGTTCAGTTAACTTCAATTAAGGCAAACAAGCCGCACAGAGCCACGCCGAGCCGAGCCGAGCGGAGCAGAGCTGAGCAGAGCGTGGCTGGATTTGAGAACCTTGACTGTGAAGTCTACTAATCGCATTGTGCGAGCAATTTACTCTTTGCCTGGGTAATCGCAATGGTAATCGACATAAAGCTTATGGTTTGATTAGGCACAAAATGTGGGCGCTATAAAGATACGGGGAACTAAATGAAAAGGAAAACACGAATCCAGTTGAGTTCTCAAATTGAATTTGCCAAGATACAGCCTTCTTTATTTGCTTAAATGAACTCTTAAAGGCGGCAGTGCGCATATCGTTCATAAATCTCTATAGATAAGCAACTACAACAATTGAAGAATTTTATCAAATTTATGATGAGGTAATGTCATATAATAATAGCCACAGCTCAGCAGCTGAGCTGAGCAGCAGGCGTCAACTAAGCACATAAATACATCAGCGGCCAGTTGAAAGAGCATCCAGATTTGAAATGAGACCCATTATATAATAGAAGCTGTAAAGAATTATATGCACAGCACACTAACTATTTTTGGCTTGATTTATTGATACATAAATTATGATTTATGGCGAAAACGCCAGCGATTTATGGCAACACCTTGTAAAAAGTTAAGAGTAAAAGTCACAATTATTCGCTCGTCTACTGACCATTGCGGGGGTCTAATTGGGGGTATATTTTGTAAAAAAAAAAGTATAGCAAACGAAAATATTTTGTTTGGCTAGCACATTACATATTCTGATGGGTTTTATAAATAAACCTGGCTAAAAGTCCGAATGACATTCGGTCAATTCGCACATGCCAAAATCGATCGGGTTTGTCGAAGTTAAAATAAACAATGCGTGATAGACGTATTTTAAAAACAAAAACAAATGATGGGCGCATATGATTAAACCGCAGTGACCAGCATAACACAAATAATAGCTAATTCGCATTGGCAAGTGAGAATTGGACAGCGTTGCACAAATTAATAATATCAACAATAAACAGCCCGATCGATAACCGGTTTGAGCCGGTTCGCGTTGTGTGACATCTTTCCGATTTATTATGGGCGCATGCATTAATTATTGTAGCTGAAATGTTAATTATGGGCTAATAGGGAACACGACGCTGTTGATTTAAGCTCTTAACAGCGCCGCTGTTAAGCTAACAGCGGCAAGCAGTGCACGTTAACAGAGCAGACGTTATGCGTATCGCATACGCCATGTAAGCGCTTACAGAGATCAAATTTAAAATTGAAATCGTTGTAAATTCAAGCAAAACAATTACATATATTTAGCTACAGCATACCGCATATGTATATACATACGTATTCATATGCAGCCACGTTTGCATATGATAAATTTTTTTGCATCATATCGCAAGCAATGTGAGAGCTGCACGTGCTGCCAAATAAATAAACACATGACAGAGCGAAAGGCAACTCAATTTGCATTGGCAGCTGCTAGAACGTGAGAAAACAGCACGGAGAAGCTATATAAACAAGCTGCCCGATTGGACACACACACACACACACACACACACAGAGTGCAGGAACAACAACAGATGATTGTGTAAAAATAAATTGATTGATAAAATGCAGCTAAAATGGCGTGCAAATTGCAAACGAGCCTCCAGCTAAATGACAAAAAGTGCACGCATCGTCTGCTAATTGTTTTTCTAGCCACCACAGGCAAATCATGCAGCGCATAACAGTTCGCACCTCAGGGTGCGAACACTCATGTGTGGCGAATTAGCGGGCGCGAAGTTAAAAATAAACTGTGAATAACATTTATATTAATTAAATGTGCAAGAATTCGAGCAGAAAGTTTCCCTGAAATGTTATCATCTACCTGAGACGGGAGCACAATACTCTAGAGCCTCTTTAACACAGCCAAAGGAGAGCACTTAAGATGGCTTTCCAGTCAAGGCAACCCTTTTAAAAATAATATTTATGGTTTCCCCGAAAATTGTTATAAAAATACCTACAAATTGCAAAGCCCTTTTTATACGCTCCCATTCTGCTTTGGGGCCTCTAATTGAATTGTTTCACGAAAATTGGAAATTGGCTTCAAAAGAGCCGTATTAAATGCGCTATTTGTTGCAATGCTTGAGCTTGTGCTTGTGCTTCTGCTTCTGCTGTTGTTGCATGTCCCCGTGGCAGGTGTTGGCGCTTAGCTTTTGTGTTTTGTTTTTTGGTTTTCTTTTTTTATGTTTTTTGTTCTTGTTTGTGCGGCGCTCTTTGTGCATTATTCGCATTTCTTAGCGCTTTGCTCATTGTTTGTAGATTTTATTCGTCTGCGACGCAAAGGGCTTAGCAGCGGGTGGTGAACAGAGGGAGGTGGGTGTTGGTGCCTTGGCTTTATGCTTGACAAATTGCATTTTAATTGCGCACCGCTGGCGGACTGCTGCACAAAGTGAATGCAGCTGAGTGCAAATAATTGCACCTGAATGCACAACAAATAATTCCGAAAATACAGTTAAATATTTGAAGCATTTAAGTCATTCGACTCGCCGCTATTCAAATTTATTGTTATTCATTTCGCCATTGAATTCGTGTGTTGTTCGAGTACGCAGTGCGAATGCGAATTCGAATGCGAATGCGAATGCGAATTTGTCGTTTGACTTTGGCTACGTGAGCCTTTAATGGCATTTTATGCGCAACTTGCGAAAAACTCGAAACCGACTACAGCTCCTTTGATTTCAACTCGACAAAAGTTGCGTCAACTTGAGCGCACATTACAAAAGCCCCAGCACGGACACAGCCCGTGACTGGGTGTAAAAGTTTCCAGCAGCTTCGTCTACTTCCCACTCTGCTGTTAGTGGTGCTAGTGGTGCTGGTGGTGCTGCTGCGCTTCTTTTGTCCTGCTGCAGCGGTATTTGCTCGACCCAGTTGTTGGCCAACTACTTGAGATGCAGCAGTGACCTGACTCCGCGCCCAGCTGGACAGGACATTTGCATTGCATTTGGACACACGTAAATCCCCGGTGTACGGAACAGACCCTCCCCCTCCCCGCTGGGAGTAAAGGCAGCCAGCAAAATTCCGTCGTCCTTGGGCTTCTCAAATATTTAAGCTGCTCAAATGCACAAACTGGAAAAAGTTCGCTTAATCGCATCGCCCATAAGTATGCAATGCCACGGCTAGAGTTCAAATTGAAGGCTATCCCATCGAAACTGTCACTAGAGCAGCCCCAAAAATTCTGCGGCGCACTTTAATTAACTAATTACAGCCATTAAAAACGTCGAGCTCGGCACGCGCCTTTTGTCACGCCCCTGGGAATTGGCGTCAAGTGAAATTGTGACAGGGAAACTGATGAAGTTGGCTGTAACAAAAAAAAAACTCAACAAAAAATTGGGGAAATTTTTATGCAATTAGGTCTAAAAGCCTTCTGATGTTCAAATGGCGCACACACACACACACGCATACGCATACACATACGCATATATATACATAGAGGCTGCTGCTGGTGCTGTGTCAAGGATGCATTGGCTGTTTGAAAATTCGTTGCATATGTGAGCATAACTCAAAGCCGGGCAAATTCATTAGGCTTAAGACACGCAGCGACCGCAGTATGACGACAGCTGCATGGTTAATCATACGCCATGTTTCCAGGCTGTGAAAAATTCAACAGCAACAGCAGCTGAAGCCAGAAAAGCCTTTTAGCACTAACAAGTGCCTACAAGACCCGGCACACTAGCAAATATTGTGACAAAAGCGTTGCACACAGACACACACAGTCACACACACATGAATATAGACGGCAAAACAAAGAAAGGACGAACCACTCGTAGTGTAAATATAAAATTTATAATAACAAAGCACGTCGCAGGTGCAATTAGTGTGCAAATAAGCGTTTATTTGCCTCAAACAAACAAAGACAGAAAGAGAGACTCAGGCAAACATAGAAAGGCAGAGAGAGAGAGGGAGATAGTGAGAGTGTGTGGCAGTGCCATGGGCATCTCATATGATATCTGACCTCGTTTATGTCAAGGTATTTCAGCTTTGCTAATGCCAGCCAGCCAGCCAGCCAACCAACCAGCTTAATTGCTATACTAGTTTCACGAGCTTGACTTAAATCAGATTTCAATTCACTCAAATATCTCTGGAGCGCATGCAAAAAAAAACTGTCATGCGCCACTGTGGCGGCTGCTCGCTCATAAATCATTTCCCAAAAACGTGATACTTTGATAACATTGATAAAGCTTTTGATCATTGGCTGCACTTAAGCAAATCAGAGGCAACATATGCACACGGAAAGAGTTGGCCAGCATATGTAAAGCAAAACGAGCCCTGATTATAGACAGAGAGAAAGAAAGGGGGAGAGAGAGAGAGAGAGTGAGCGAGCGAGAGAGACAGAAGCAGGTAAGGCCAAACAAACAACTAAGGCACCGCTAGGGACAGCTATTTGCCAACATGTAAAGTACACTGACATCGCCTGCAGCCGAACAACAGTAACAACAACAACAACAGTAACAACAACAACAAACACATCAAATAGAGCAAAACCATTGGCAACGACAAGCGTCAGCATGAGTCTGAACTTAGCTACAGGACTCAATTGAGTACCATGCCAGGCGTACAGTGGGGTCGGGAAGGCGGGCAGGCGGCATAGAGTTGGAGACATCTCGTGTCTCGCAGCTCACTCAGCTGCCCTGGGGCACAGCATGGCCTGGTCGGGCTGGCTGGACACCCTCAGCACCCGCTGTCTGCCCCTCACTGTTTGTTTTGCTCGACTGTCCACTCTGACAGTTGGCAGCTGCCTAAAAATGTGCACAGAAAATGTCGAGCTCTGGGACTTAGATGGCAATCGCTGCAATTTGGCCAGCCTGCCATTGTGGCAAATGGAAATTAAAATGAATTCTTATACCCTGCATCAAAATATAAACATTTTAAAGTGTGCAC